GTGAAGGATTTGATGTTGAAGCTTCAGAACAAGTTCAAGTGCAAGGCACTTGGCGACGTGAACTTCTACCTCTGGCTCCACATTGAACGCGACGTGGAAGCGGTCGATGCGTCTGCATCAACGAAAGTACCTGGAGGCATTGGCTGTCAACTTTGGGCGGATTGAAGGCCATGTGGCTATTCCAGTGTGTGAAGGGACCAGAGGAGGAGAGTGTTGGCAAAGAAGAGAGGAGCCGATTTCTCTCATTCGTGGGCAGCCTCATGTACATGGCAGTCAACACACGACTGGACGTCACCTTTGCTACCAGGCAGCTGGCTAGGGTTGTGCAATGCCCTAATGAAGAGCAGGTAGCAGCTGGAATGAGGGTGGCCAAGTTTGTTGGCTGAAAACTCGGCGGCGGCGCAAAGGCGCCAAAAAGGTGCGGATGGTGTAGAACCCGGGCGTTTGTTCCTCACCACCTACTCGGATGCGTCATATGCATCGGAACCAGAGGACATAACAAGTGTGAGAGGCTTCATTTGCTGTATTGGTGGAGGCCCAACTGCTTGGGAGAGCAAGAAGCAGGTTCATCAAGCATTGAGCTCGGTGGAGTCCGAGTACATGGCACTCTTTCGTGCCGAACGGGAGATTGTGTGGCAGCGGCATTTGTTGACTGAATTGGGGGAGGAGCAGCAAGGACCTACCCCACTCTACTGTGACACCCAGGGTGCCATTGCTCTTGCTAAGAGCCTTGTGTTGCATGGCCTCATGAAGCATATGAGGGTGAAGTGGCATTGAACGAGGAGCATGGTGGCCGCGGATGAAGTTGAGTTGCACTACGTGAAGACCACGGGGTAGCCGAATGACATGATGACCAAGAGGCTTGTAGAGAAGCAGCATTGGAAGTGTTGCAAGCTGGCTGGGATGGCTCTGAACTGAGAGAGCAACATATCCTAAGGCCAACAATTCGAGGGGGGGGTTGTTGGTGCAACCCTACGGTTTGCACTCGGCTTGTTGTCCGTGTGCGTGCATGCGTGTGTGCATGGAATGGTATGAGGGCATGGGATAATACATATTTCATGCCTATAATTGTGTGCGAATTTTGAGTCATGATGTCGAATGTGTGTGTCGAGTCAATAGCGAGTTATCGCTAGTCGCGTATCACGCGGTCGTTTGTGTCCCACGCGCGGTTTCTATTTTGTCGTGTGTCTAGTGCACAATTTCTACTTTGTCGTGTGTGGAACGTTCGCTGTGTCGCAGGTGTGTGCAGCAGACTCATTAAGAGCTCAAGGATAAGTTTATGGTGAAGAACCAGAGCCTTGGTTTCAAGATTCAAGTGACCGCGAAGCCCCCGAAAAGGGAACACTTCAAGATATTGATAATAGTTGCATTACGTTGTGTAGTGTAACATTTCACTTGGTTTAGGCCCTTATGAAGGGTAGTTTCGAGACCCTTCGTGGTTGGGGAAATTGTGGCACTGTACCTCGGCTCTTGGGGTTTGTAGGAGCTAGGAGTCATTCCCAACTCGTAACTCTTCCTACTTGTGTTCTAAGACTATAGTGGCTGCCATAGTGCCGTTAGTTCAAACCGGCGCTGTGTTGTCAATTCTTGGTGAAATTGTGCAATCTAAACTGCCTGTATTTGGCGAATTTATGATGGTCCAGATCCAATTTGAATCAGGTCATTTGAAGCCATGACCAGAACGCTATGAACGTGTAAAGCCGATGTGCAGAAATCCGACTGTGCACTCAATCTTTTGTTTTAGGCAAATTTGAGCCTATTGTGACTATAACACCCCTCCTCTTCCTCTGCGACTGCCCCCTCCTCCTGCCGTGCCGCTGCTTCATCTGCCAGAGCAGCCACCACGTCTTCTCCTGCTCCTCCTCCTTTCATCTTGTCTCCTGCCCTCTCTTTCTCTCCTGCCATCACTCCTCCTGCGCCTGCTCTCGTCCCGTTTCCTGCTCATGCCCCCCCTCCACCTCTCGAGGTTCCTCTATCTCAAGTAACAGTTGCTGCTAGCACCTATGATGCCACCCTAACTGCTCCCCCCCATTCCTCTGTTGAATTTTTTTCGTGTACATTCATATAAATGCCTACAGTAGCCTTGTGTAGTTATCTTAGTTTCATCCTTGGTGGTGTACCATTTGCCTATTTCCTTGCCTCTATCTTGTATGCCCTCCATTAATGAACCCCTTTTTTGGCTTGCTCTTTCCTCTTGTCACTCTTACCTAGTTGAAACCCTAGGTTCCTAAGCTACTATGTTCGACATGCTCCTCCCGCAGTTGGTGCTGCCCCCAATCCCCCTCCCCCCATCACTCCCCCTCCATTGCTCCTCCCCTCATTGCCACTCCCCCCTCTAGGCCATTGCTCCTTTCCCCATTGATCTTCCTCTCGTCGCTCCTCGATTAACGGCTTCTATTTTTGCAGTCTGCACCAACCCAAGCAAGAAGTCTAGTGACTATATTGCTCGTCACCATAAAACTTTGGACCATATCATTGCTGTACCTGGCTTATCTCTCACTTACTAGGTTTCTGCTACCTACCCCTTCCTCCCCCCTTCTGTCTCTCCCCTCATCACCTGCTTACGCATCCACACCTCCCCTTCACCTCCCCTCGCTTCTCTCCGCCGTGCCTCTCCTGTTGCCTCCCTACCGCCTCGATAGCAGCATGCGACGAGGAGAGGACAAGGAGATTGGGCCCGACGCGAGGTGCCTCTTTCCTGTCCAACCCTTGCTAGAGTGAAGCAATCAGTTTCTAGGAGTGGTGAAACTCAATTCAGTAACAAGAGTGCCTTATGGATTCTCTGCTGTACAACTGCCCCGTAATGAGAAGATAGTGCAATTTGTCATACGGGTTGTCCTCATCATCCGCATCCAGGGCCGTCATGGCTGATGGCTGAAACCATACGGGTGGCACCCCCTTGTTAGGCCTGCTGGAGCGACGTGGGGGTGGTGGAATGGGCTGGAGGGGGGGAATTGCAGGTGAAGGCTCATGCTCATGGGCCATTGGTGACTGCTCATCCACTGTTACCTCTTCTTCTTCCTCCTCGTGATCAGCCATGCTGGTGTCAACCTCCAGAGGACCATCCTCTGCTCCTACGGGCGCCAAATCAGCAACGGAGGGTGGACCAAGAGGAGGAGGTGCAGTAGGTGCCTTGCTGCCCAAAGGTCCCACCAAGCGATCAAGGGGTTTCTCGCCCCCTTGCACGGACGGTACCGGGACCACGATGACGGTACGTGGTGGAGGCGGATTCTGCTCGGGGTCGTGGGGCTCAGGGAAGAGAGATGGGACTGAAGCAAAGGGTGGTGTGGGCTGGTCATTCCCGTCACCCACGCGTGCACGCCACTTCTGCCACCGTTCAAGTGACGTGTCCTCATAAAAATGTGCATCCCGGGTGATGACCATGCGCTTTGACTCAACATCCACCACACGCCATCCCTTACTTTCCATGCTCATGCCCAAATGCATGCCCCAACGAGTCTTGCTTGCAAGCTTCCCCTCACGCTCATGCTCAGGAATGAGGTAATGCACCATGCACCCGAACATACGGACCATGGACACATCGGGCTTGACTTTGAACACCACCAAACGAGGGGTCACACCATGGGGCAGGGTGGATTGGTGCATACGGTTTAACACCTACAAGAACTGCTGGAAAGCGAAGTGCCACAAGTGTGCTTTCACCCCCATGTGCCCCAACATCACACGCATGCCCTCAGTTACCGTACGGTTGTGGCGTTCAGCCACACCGTTCTGCTGGGGGGTCGAGGGGCAGGAAAGTTGACGTGAAATTCCTCGTTGCTTCAGCAGCAACAGAAACTCATTCGACATTAACTCCCCTCCCCGGTCCGACCGCAACACCTTCAGCGTCATCCCGGTTTGGCGTTCAGCTTCGGGAAGCCATTCCTTGAAGGCAGTAAGCGCGTCGCTCTTCAGCTTCAACGTCTTCCCCCAGGTGTAATGTGAGGCGTGGTCGACAAAAAGAATGTACTACCTACTTCCATCCATGGCTAGGATCTGAAATGGACCGCACACGTCAGTATGGACCAGCCCAAGTACCTGCTCCTCTCGCTCTTCGTGCAGCGGAAATGATTCACGAGTGAGTTTGGCTTTATGGCAGGAGGTGCACGGCATATCCTCACCTCCTTTCTCCAGGTCCATACCGAACACGCCACCGCTCGTGGCTGTCCGCTTCACCGCATCGAAGTGGATGTGTCCAAGGCGAGCGTGCCACAGGTTGGGCGTTGCCTTGGAGCCCACCGCGTATGTATTAAGGCTGGCCGCTCCTCTTCAACTTCCGGCTTGCTTGACACCACATCAGCAATCCCTTCGCCGTGTCGTTGCTTGCCGTTGCAGCCGCCGTGCCGTTGCATGCCGATGCAGCCCCTGTGCCATTGCTCGCCACTCCACCCGCCATATGGGTGCATGCCGCTACAACCGGTGCCGTTGCATGCCGCTACAGCCGTTGCACCGTTCCTTGTTGGCCCCGGTTTCAGGTCAAGGCAATGAAGGCGATGGCGGTATCGTGCCGTTGCAGCCACTTGACCTCCTTATGCGATGATGCGAGTGACACCTTCCTCGGTTTGCAGCTTTGCTCCCTTGTCCAAGAGCTGCCCAGGGGAGACCAAGTTGGCCTTCATTCCTGGCACAAAGAGGACATCATGTAGGGTCACACGCAGGCCGTTAGTGCCCTCCAGCAAAACCTCACCAACACCGGCAACTTCCTGCATAGAACCATCAAACCCTTCGACTGAATTCGTTGCAGATGGGTCACGGATCACCGTGAACCAATCCTTTCGGCCAGTCATGTGTTGGGAGCATCCTGAGTCAAGGAACCACAAGTCCTTGTCGTCAGCAAGCAACTTTGCAGCCGAACACCCGACGCTGAGCGCCACGCCCTTCCCGTCTCCTTCAGCTACGTTCGCGGCGGCCGCGGGCGTTGTATCTTTCTCCTTGTTGGGGCACTTGGCAGCCATGTGCCCCTCCTCATTGCAGTTGTAGCAGCGCCCCTTGAAGGGGGCTCACTTCTTCTCCCACTTGCCATCCTTCTTTTTGTCCGTCTGCTCCCTTCCCCCTTTTCCTTCCTTCCCGTTGACCCCCGTTGTAGCCACGATGGCATTGACAGCGCCCAAGAAAGCAGATGCATCACTGGTGATCTGCTTGTAACTTTGTTCGATGGAGAGAGTCTGCTCCTCCATCAACACCTCACTGCACACGCGTTCCACCGTCATGTCAGGGCTGGAAAACTCGAGCTTGCGGCAAAGAAATCCGTACTCCGGTGGTAGGCCCTTCAGTACGTGGGCGGCAAACGTGGCCATGTGGACCTCCTTTCCAATGGTCAGCAGCTCCGCTCGGATAGTGCGGGCCCTATTGCAGTAGGATTCCGCCGTCTCATCATCTCCCTTCCTGAGTTGGGCTAACTGGATCTGAAGTAGGGAAGCGTGGAGGGCATCACGAACTTGATGAGTAGACAAGATATATGCCCATGCTAGCTGCCCGGCTTTCTCTTGCTGAGAGAAACCAGAGATGGGCATTCGGATGGGTGGAGAAACACATCGGTTCAGCACCATGAATGAAAGCATTTGGCCCTTTGCGTACTCCCTTCGTTGCAAGGGGTTGTTCGAGGCCGGGCTTGGTGCTGTTCAGTTGCAAAACTGCCACAAATCAGCACACTGGAGCTGAGGTCGGATGGCGCTGACCTACGCGGTAAGGTCGTGCCTTCCCTCCAGCAGCGGCGTCACGGAGATGTGTTCAACTCCAAACTTGAATTGACCGTAGCTCGCCCCGATGATTTCCGTGTCAATGGTTGGTGCAAGAGCTCCTCCACCAACGCCCACAGCACTTGGAGCCTCGTGCACAGCTCCTCCTTCACCGGTTCCTCCTTGCTGGCCGCTCGCAGGTGCTTGCTCCGCCGTGCGCTCCCGAACCATGCATGGTAGACGACCGTCCACGATGAGGTCGACTTCTTCATCACGCAAGTGAGGGTGGTGCTCACGAATGGACGCCTCCAGCTCATGATGGGCATTCAGACCCTCAGCGCTCGTTAACCACTCCATGCGCAGTCAAAACGAGAGTCGGCCACACCAACGTGGGAACGAAGTGATAGGAGGACGAAATCAAGCCACTAGCTGGATCGACGCAGATAACGCCGCTCTGATACCATGTCGAATTCCACTTCTATAGCAGCTTAATAGAGCTAGAAAGCACAATTCCAACGCACCAAAGATTGTAGGAAACGGTCCACTATAGCCAGAGTTACACACAAACATAGGAGTGATAATGACTTGGTTGATTTCTGGTTTGTGCTTTCTGGTTTTATACTAGGACGCAATACAAAACAAATGCATACATGAAAGTGTCGACCCGGGTCGCACATTGAATTTCGTCTACATAAAATTCGGAGCCTTGAAGTTTGCCGAGCGAATTCCATTGACTGGAATTCCGTAGACGAGAATTTCCGCGACAAGAATTCCGTCGACCACCGACTGTAACTCCCGTGCAAATTCCGTTGACTTCGACACTTCGCTGCCGAGTTTCAAACCGAACGCGACCCGAGATCGATTTCGCCAAACTGTCCCCAATCTGTCCCCAAACTGTCCCCAATCTGTCCTGACAAGACACTTTCGGGACACTTGAATCAAAAGGTCTCCAATTCAAAACTCGTGTGCACCATAACCAGCGCCTTAGCAGAAACTGTCCTGAATCTGTCCTGAGACACTTTCAGGACAGAATTGAAGGTCACGAGTTCGAATCCCAGCGCAGACATTTTGTTGCTCATGGCAGCATTTCCTTCGAATACTCCCCCCACCTCCCGGCCCCCCCTGACCCACCCTGCCCCGCCCTGCTCTGCCCTGCCCTGCCCCGCCCTGTCCTGCCCTCCCCTGCCCTGCCGTGCCCTCCCCTGACCTTCCCTGACCCGCCGGACTTGCCCGCATCCGCCCTGACCCGCCCCACCTGCCCTGACCTGTGTAAGAGAGTCGACGCCGCAGAAGGCCCTGGCAACCATGGCATGCGCGGAGGGCCGCGGGCGGACGGCTGGGCGGCGAAGGGAAGAGGGGCGGAGGGCAAGGGGGGCGGAAGGAAGAGGGGTGGAGGGCAAGGGGGGCGGAAGGAAGAGGGGCGAAGGGAAAGGGGGCGGAGGGAAAGGGGGCGGAAAGGGGGGGGCGGAAGGAAGCGGGATGGAGGGCGAGGCAAGGAGGGGAACGAGGAGCGGAGAGGACAGGGATGCGATGAGAAGAGAAGAAATTGGAGGGGAAAAGGCGAGAGAGCAGAAGGAGTGGAGTGAGTGGATGTTGAATGCGCTGTAGGGATGCGCAATAGCAGGGACGCGATATAGCAAGGCGTTGCTGCGGGTTACGCACTTGAGCAGCGTGCACCTGAATCCAAGAGCCTAGTGGGAGCGGGCATGCACTATACACTTTAGCAGCCGGTGCAGGTAGAGGCGTCTCACCAGCGCCCACGACGGGCCCATGCTCGCCGTACCCTCCACCACCACCACCACCAACTGCTTTGTCGGCCAACGCTTCTGCTGCCCCGGAGCCGCCTGATGCTGCTATGGATGCGGCTGTGTAACGCATCACCTACATACCCTAGGAGCTATCCTAACTATGGCTCTCTAAAGTGCTACCTACGTAAGGTAGCGATTTACGGGAAGGAAGGGTTGGAGGGGATGAATGGTGATTGGTCTGCAAAACATATATGACATAGTTTGTGTAGGCTGTAGTGGGGTAGACTATATGGGGTACAACACTGCTAGGTTTTCTTACTTGTACCCATCTCCTTGCTAGTTCAGTCATTCCTTGTTCACCACTTTTCACATGGTTTCAGAGCAGGTTCCCTAATGGGACCGGTTTTTTTTAAGGGCCCACCACAAACCTTTTTTTTTCTGCCCTTTCCGAATTGCACTGTCGTGCCTGCCTACCGTGTCACGTGCCTTGCGCCTAACTACCCGCGCCCTCAAGCGCCTGCCTACCCGCGCCCTCGAGCGCCTGCCTACCCGCGCCCTCGAGCGCCTGCCTACCCACGCCCTACCCCGCGCCACCCTTGGGACAGCCGCCCCTGCCCCGCCCTGCAGCATCCTGCCGTCGCGGCCCTGCCCCGCCCTACACCAGCGGCCGTCACGGACTGCCTATGTGAGAGTACGACGGCTTATGCCAGCTATGCTTGCTTGCCTTTACTTTATCATGCTATTTGTAGCATAGGATAATTATATGCATGCATGAATTGCTTGATTTCCTAGGCTAGGTGCTTTCCTATATTTTATAATAGATAAAGCACCGAGCTAGGTTGCATGCACCGAATTCTGGCTTTTCGGTTGCCACCGAATTGCCTTCTACCGAATTCGGTATGGATCTGTTCGGGATGCTTCGCGACCCGTTGAAACTTCGCGTAACACCTGGTTACGGGGCCTTGTGTCGAGCCTATATATAGCCTCGTGTTGTACCGAGGTGATAAATTCAATTCAATTCACATTCTCTTTTCTCAGCTCGATCCTAGATCCTCACAGCCTAGCCCTACAGCAGCTGCCGTCGTGGCCCTGCCCCACCCTGCAGCAGCTGCCGTCGCGGCCCTGCCCCGCCCTGTAGCAGCGGTCGTCGCGGCCCTTTCCCCGCCCTGCAGCAGCTGCCGTCGCAGCCCGACCCCGCCCTGCAGCAACTGCCGCGGAGCCCCTAGCCGCAGTCGTGGCCCCGCCCTGCAGCAGCTACCGCGGAGCTCCTTGCCGAGGTAGCGGCCCCGCCATCGCCACCGTCTTCCGCCTGCCCTTCCCACCACTCGTGGGCACTACCCTGCCCGCACTGCTACCGCTGCTACTGCTTTTAGTGCTGCTACTGCTACTACTACTGCTACTAGTGTTGTTACTGTTGCTGCTGCTACTACTGCTGCTCCTGGCGTAGCCAGATGCAGCTCCAGGGCCGTTCGCGTGAGTCCCTCACTCCCCGGCAGCTTCGTGAGTGGTACGCTAGTTGGGGTTGTCGCGGTGGCCGTAGTGGGAGTCGTCCTAGAGTGAGTAGTTCAAGAGCTTCTTGTAGTTGCCCGGTGCAGCTGCAGCATCGTCCGCGCGAGTCCCTCACGCCCCAGCAGCTTCGTGAGTGGTACGCTCAGAGTAGAGGGTCACTGAGTACTGCTCGCTGCCCGTACGTCATTTGCACGGGTGTCCGGACTGGTCACCCTTGCGGGACACCTAGTCACACAGAGTCCCGCTGCTTTGCCCGTCTGAGCGACGCTTGGCGTACAAAGTTTGGCGACGGATCTAAGCTCCCCTCCTGGCTGGAGCTGCTTAGGCAGAGGGTAGATATCTTTGCTCTTGACTATGATGCTATCCTTACTGCCATGTATGCATTTTCTACTAATGCTGAGGGTGTCTGACACTTGTGTGTGCTGCCTGACCCCGGTATCCAGTCTGCTGCTCTAGGTGCTGGTGAGGCTGCTGCTCTAGGTGCTGGTGCGTCTCCTGCTCCAGGTGCCGGTGAGGCTGCTGCTCTAGGTGCTCGTGCGTCTCCTGCTCCAGGTGTTGGTGAGGCTGCTGCTCTAGGCGCTGGTGAGTCTACTGCTCCATGTGCTAGTGAGGCTGCTCTCTCTGGTGCTACGCCTGCAGCGGTCTTGCACACCTTCACTCTTGACTCGGGTGCTTCCCGCTCCTTCTTTCGAGACCGCACCACAATCACACTGCTTAGTCGGCCGGTTGCAGTCTCCCTGGCAGACCCCTCTGGGGGTCCTGTCCTTGCCCACTACTCCACTGTCCTACCGTGTACGGCGGCCCCGTCTGGCTCCCTGTCAGGTCTTTACCTCCCCTCGTTCTCTACAAACCTTGTGAGTGGTGTTGACCTGCAGGATGGGGGGGTTGACCAGTTCACTCCTGTGAGTCAGCGAGTGACCCACTGTACGTGTGCTCGGACGGGCCGACACTTGGCCACGTTTACATACTGACTACCAAGTCTCCTCCGGTTACTGCGTCTGGTTAGGTAGCTGCGTCGGGTTAGGTGTTTGCTGCAGCATCTTGGTCTGGTCCTGAGTCTGCCCTCTGCTCGTGTCATCTCCTGTCTCACCAGACTCTCCTCTGGCACCACCGCCTTGGTCACCCCTCCCTGCCTCGTCTCCAAGGCATGGCCTCCCGTGTCCTTGTCTCTCGTCTCCCCAGGTCCCTCCCTCCCCTCCCCTTGGGTCCTGCCCCTACCTGCGCTCCCTGCGTCGAGGGGTGGCAGCGCGCCGCTCCTCACTCCTCCGAGTTTCCTCCGATAGAGACTCCGCTGCAGACTCTCCACATGGACGTGTTGGGCCCAACCCACGTACGTGGACAGGGTCACGATCGTTACTTCCTGCTGGTGGTTGACGACTACTCGCGTTACACCACAGTCTTCCCTTTGCGCCATAAGGGTGAGGTCACTGAGGTGTTGATCGACTGGATCCGCGCTGCCCGTCTCCAGCTTAGAGAGAGTTTCGGCTCGGACTTTCCTGTTCTGCGTCTGCACTCCGACGGAGGTGGAGAGTTTTCCTCCAACCTTCTGCGAGCCTTTTGTCGTGTGGAGGGCATCCGCCAGACGTTCACGCTTCCGGCCTCTGCGCAGCAAAATGGGATTGCTCAGCACCGCATTGGCATTGTCATGGACGTCACTCGTACGTCCATAATCCATACGGATGCTCCCCATTTTCTGTGGCCGTTCACGGTTCAGTACGCGGCGCATCAGATCCACCTTCAGCCCCGGGTCTCCATGCCGGATACCTCCCCTTCTCTGCGGTAGACGGGGAAGGTTGGCGATGCGTCTGCGTTCCGTGTCTGGGGATCTCGAGCTTTCGTCCGCGACTTGTCTGCAAACAAGTTTTCCTCCCGTGCTGTTCCATGCGTCTTCTTTGGCTTCCCCCCTGACGCGCCTGGTTGGCAGTTTTACCACCCCACCTCGCCCCGTGTTCTGTCCTCCCAGGACGTCACGTTTGACAATTCGGTTCCCTACTACTGTCTCTTCCCCTACCGCATTGCCCCCCTCCCCCCCCCGCCGCTCTTCCTCAAGCCAGGTCCCCCCTTTGGTAAACCCCCTCCCCTCTCAGGGTCCTGCCCCCTAAGGTGTGTCCGAGGAGACGCAGTCGAGCCTGTCGAGGTAGCTATTGACTCTGGTGCTTCTAGGGGTGCTGAGCCTACGGATGCCAAGTCTGGGGGTGCTGTGCCTGAGCGTGCGGAGCCTAAGGGTGTTGGGTCTGGGAGTGCTGAGCCTGGGGTTGCTGAGTCTGGGGGTGCGGAGCCTGAGGGTGCTGGGCCTGCTCGTGTGGAGTCTGGCGGTGCTGGGCCTGAAGGTCCTTCGGATGCTTCGTCTCGGCGAGAGCTACTCAATCCGCACGAGCAGCACGAGTGGTTTGCTCGGCGTTGGAGCCGTGCTGCTGGAGCTGGTGGTGCTTCCGGTGCTGGAGGTCCTTCAGCTACTGAGGCTACTGGGGGTTCTGGAGACACGGGTCCCGGAGGTGCTTATACTAGAGGTACTGGAGCTGCTGGGCCAAGTGGTGCTACTGGTGCTGGAGCTGGCGGTGCTGGAGCTGGCGGTGCTACTAGAGTAGGTGCTGGTGGAGGTACTAGAGCTGGAGCTACTTTGTCTTCCGGTAGTCCTGCTGGAGCTCGAGCTGCTGGAGGTGCTACTGGAGCTGGAGGTGCTACTAGAGCCGGTGCTCTTGTGGATGCTGGAGTTGGCACTACTAGAGCAGCTGGTGGTGCTGCTGGAGCTGTTGGAGCTGAAGCAGGGGGTGCTGGTGCTGTCCCTGCTGGTTCTGTAGGTGCTGCGCGGCCACGGCCGTACTTCATTTCGCTCCTTGAGCAGGTTCTTGGTCTCTCGCCTTCTACTGGTCCTGCTCCTTCCTTAAAGTGTCCACCGCCTCACCAGTTCGAGTCACAAGTACAGCTGGTTATCCCCACTGCCTGCTACTTCTCCCTACACAGGTCCTACTGGAGGTCTTGCTGAGCATTGTGAGCCTAAGTCTCGTCGCCTGTTCGTGCTGCTCGCACTAGTCGTCGTGTTCCGTGTCAGCGTCCTCCTGTGGTCCCAGGCACGCACCAGATGGCACTGCGTCCTTCCACTGCTCCACTGCGTGTCCCTTTGCCGTCTCCTCCAGAGTCCTGTCTTCCTGCTCTTGCTGACCCGGAGTCTGACTCCCTTCGTGTTGCGAATCCTACTGTCACGCGTCTCACGGCTACTTTTGTCACTGACCCTTCCTTTGATTCCACTGCTGCGTCTGCCTTAGTTGCTAAGCTTGTCGATTTCGCTGCTCACTATCGTCTAGACTACGCCGCTAGTCTTGTTGCTAAGTCTGAGTCTGTCTGTCCTCCGTGAGTGTGCTCTTAGCACGGACGTCCTTGAGGACAGGTAGGAGGAGTTCGAGTGTTTTGCTGCTGCTTTATCTCATCTCGTGTCCATGCTAGTTGCCCCTGAGGGAGACCCGGATGCACCAGACATCCCGACCCCGCGCTCTGACGCAGAGGCGATAGAGGGTCCCTACTCCACTCAGTGGCAGAAAGCCATGGACGCAGAGATGGCTTCCTGGAAGTCCACAGGCACCTACGTCGACGAGGTTCCCCTTCCTGGGGCGAACATAGTCA